ATACAGAAATACTGATACTGCAATACATTTTTCACATTTGTTTGAGACGCCAACTGAGGTGAAGCTTGAAGTGCAAGTTTTTGATCCCCAAATTACTTTCCCGTAGGCTTGGCACATTGCCTTGAAGGTAGTGAATTCGAACGACGAGGAGTCTTCAATGGGCTCGAAAAAACGTCAATCAAGGACTGACCGCGGTCCCTTAGCTGACATCCTGTCTGTCTGACGAGGGATGCGAAAAGACTTTGACCTCTAAAGAAATTTTATGTCATTCTAAATCACATCAAAGCGTCACCACGCCCTGTCCAATTGTGCAACTGTCAACATTTATCACATGAGGTCACGGTGGGATGAACTGGTATTTTTTATCTCTACGTGTGGCCTTGAACATGAAACTTTACAACGCTGCTGTATGAAAGGACAATACGTACTTTCGTTGTAGGTTACCTCGTTGAAGATCGTGCGGGCAGTGTCATTTGGAATTTTCGAGAATAGTAGACCACCTGAAGCATTCTGAAACACCTGTCTTATCTTCTGTTACGGTTGAAAAAAACGATACCGTGCATCCCTGTTGTAAAGGTCCTTCCTGCCGACCCTCCACCACCAACGCATGAATTGCAGTCCTCAAGTTTCGTCTTGCATACTCCGAATAGAAACCTCATGGATGGCGACCTGATATTGCCGGCACAGGTGCGAGCTCTCCGAGAAACGGCGCGCTCGAGACGAGTCGCAGGTGTACGAAGTCTGGGTCAGCACAGAGAGGCCACGTCTGAGCTCCTTCCTGGGTTCGGATCACCAGAACAGCAGGTCACTTTCACGTCGGCAGAGGACGTACCCTTGAGCCGTGCAATATTACGGGTGCAGCCGCCGACGCATTCGAATATGTGTTTAACTTCACTGGGTAAGTCATCCTACTATTTCAAGCCAACCACCGCCAGGCTCGTGCTGCAACGGACTGTGACTCAGCTTTTCCGGCTGGGTGTACTGGGTGTACTGTATACGCTAAGGCAAGAGAGACGGTTAGCAGCGAGCTTTGGATGCCAGCAAACAATATATGACTCAAGAAACCCCTACCTAAAAACCTGCGGCACAAGATGCTCTGACTCCACTCCTGGCACGCCACCTGGTTCGAGTCAACACTACGCAACACTTCTCAGAAGAGAGAAGAGGACGCATAGAAAAATAGTTTGTAGAAACAGAAGGAACCTTGGTCAGCATGGTAACAATGCCCAAGCATCTCCCTGACCCTGGTGCCCTCAGAAGTAAAAAAAAAAAAAAAAGCGTTCTGATTTGTTTTGTTTTTTTCGGGGGGGGGGGGGGGGGGTATTTCTCAAGAAATGTAACGAAATACATTTCACCCTGATTGTATCGCGATACAAAGGAACATTCAAAATGTATTTCGATAGAGGAATACAGATACTGGCGGAGAAAATGTATCGCGATACAGAAATACAGATACAAAATGTATTTCTGAAATACTATCGCGATACATTTGTATCGCGATACTGCCCAACCCTGCATATACCACTTAGAACGAATCCCTGACGTTAATGACCTATGAAACACGCGTTCGTTTTTCACCCCACGCAATAGAAGTCCCAGAAAAAATTAAAGAAAAACAAGCAGCGTTCACCCCCTCAAATCGCAGCCAGAACAAGCGGCCACGTGATCTGGAGCCGATTATATGCCGCCAATGTTGATCATAGCCACGCGCTGGCGTTGGCAAAGCACAGGACACGCGCTGAGTTCCAGACATTGTTATGGCTCGGCTATTGCCGTTGATGCAGCGATTGGACACGAGCCCCCTACCCGAATGCTTCTCGAGCTAGTAATTATAACGAGCCCCAATCGAGTGGCCACGCAATGCTCGGGTCCAATCTATGAACCGCATTCAAATATCGTCATTGGGGTGTACTGCGATCCCCACGTTACGTCATCAAATTTTGCAAAGAAAAGATTGAATGAAAATGATCGCTTTTGTCCTTGAAATTACACCGCAACAAAGGAGTTTCTTGGCCACTGGCGTTGCGTGCGAGTGTCCTTGAGTCCCACTAGTGCCAGTAAGCTTGTGTAAAGTGAAAAAAATTTCAATTGAATATCGTTGCACCGCTTCTTTAAAGAGAAGCTAAAACACTTTTTGAGAAAAACGAGTTAGAGGTGAATTCTGGCGTATTTTTATCCCGTGAATCTGAATATCACGTTCCTTTTGCCCGAAGATGTAACTAAACGCGAGAAAACATGAAAAACCTCCGACCTGTCGTGACCACTATGATCTTTGGACCACCAAGCGCGTGTCGCTCCTGTAGACAGCGCGTGCCAAAGCAAGCTTACGATGTATTGGCGACGTGACTATGACGTCAGCAAAGGATGTCTCATCGACGGAAATAAGAGCAATGTAAGAACTTCAATCTTTGCGGTGCTGGCAGCGTTGCTTTGAGAGCGCTATGATTTCAGGCTGCCACCATGCTCATTACAAACACCATCGAACTTGTTGTTCACAGGGTAATGACGTCACGAAAAGTAACCAAACGAGAACGCCACCGAAACATCTCGCGGCTAATAGATGATTTGCACACGCCCCAAATTACTGACGCCATTGCTAATCTTCTCTTGTTTTACCCAGACGCTGAGCCAGCGAAGCGGGCGTTGCCGAGCTTCCGCTAAGGCCAATGCTGGGGAGAAGGAAACAGTAGAAACTAAAATGGCAACAACCCGCCCTGCTCTGGTCATTGTGAAGTGACGTAAGCGTAATAAGAGAAAACAAAAATTGGAAGTCGGCTATGGCGGCGTTCTTGCAGAGCTGCTGCAAAGCGTCTCTATTCCCCCGTACTGACACTAGTCGTGACATCTCTCTTTGACCTTTTTAAAAATAGCAAGATGGCGCGTGCATGGCTTTGACACCCGCTAAAGATGCGGGAGAGCGGAGATTCATTACACTCCTTTTACAACGGCACGTTCCGGGAAGGAGGGGCTTCAGCGGTACTTTGAAAATCAATATCAGCAGCCTCCGTGCACCGAACTGAAAAATAATCTCGATATTCGTGATTCTCGAGGCCAAATACAAACGATTTAGGTTTTTTTTTTTTTTTTTTCTTGAATGCAAAATTGTTTTAGCTTCCCTTTAATACTTCTTACGCGTAAAACTAGTCGTGATTCATGTGAAATGTATAACTAGTAATAGTAATGTAGCCAATTGGGTCGAATACCTATTTTTCTTTTGTTTACACTCATAACGTATTACATCATGGAAGTAATAAACAGTAACACCATATATTAATTCGCTCTACGTACTTATTATATATATATATTCCACTGAAGAATTGTGTGCGTAGCTTGTAAATAAGTGTAAATGCATAGGTTTTTACAAGACAAATGTCAATGGGCTGGTGACCGAGAGGTCTGGTGCGTTCCGCTATGCTACATAAAGTTCTGGGTGCGATTCTTCTTACAGCGAAGTTTATTTTCCTTGTTGTATTTGGTGTTTTTTAGTTGAAAACGCAGGCACATATTTTCGGCACCAATTCATCGTCTGTGATAGCAAACCAAAAACGCGTTGGAAGCTGCTCTCATCAAAGCACTACAGCAAGTGGAAGAAAAACACACGCACACACACACAGAGTAAGAAAAAATATTTCAGTAAGCAATTTTATGTTTAAGTTAAAGGCTTGTGCTTTCAAATCAAAGAAAGTACAAAAAAGCCATAAAACAAAATTATTCCCCAGGCGGCTTCGTCAATCTGTCCTTGTAAGAAGATTTTGCACACGCCTCCAGTTTTATATACGTTCATAGTACCTGATTGAAATAAACAAATCAAATCAAACTTTTCGTAGCAAGAGTGTGACGCACCAAACTTATTGGTCACCATAAAAGACAAGATTCCGAAGACATTACGGTGGTATATAAACATTTCTATGAGACGTAGGTCTAGAGAGTTGCGTTTTTTAATTATTCTTGTTCATTACATAATTCCTCGGTAATATATTTACTCGTCGCTTTTGAAGTACGCGGGGGAGATTCATTTTATTCATATTTCCAGCCTCTTTGTCGAGTTGCTGCGAGCGGATTCGCACTTTCGTGATCAAAACGAAGGCGCATTTGTGGCACGTTGTTCGACCACCGTATTCAGTACGCGGCTCGACTGATTCCGATGCAAAACGGTTCCCTAAAAGTCTATTATAATGATAGGTTTCTTTCAAACCTTTTTTTTTAACATACAAATTTCATTTTGCCTCATGAGAGAACTTGCTGACCCGTGTGCGAGATCTGGCACTAAAGAAATATCGTGCGTAAGAAGGTCACCACCATAAAGGTACGCAAAACAAATTTTTCATGTGTGCAGTTACATTCATTATTTACTCGATGCAGAGCAAACAGATCAATTTATCGCAATAGAACGACGAACTTAAAAAAGTGAAAGCTGTTTACAACTCCCTGTAACGCCGAATTAGAGCGCAGCTCTTGAGGAGGAGGAGGGAAGGGTACTGGGGGGGGTCAAATGACCTTGGGGGGGTCACGTGACCTAGGGGGTCACGTGACGATGCCGGTGCCGATTACGTCATCAGTGACGTCACAGATGACGTCATCAGTGATGATGACGATGACGATGCGGATGCCGGTGACGTCATCAGTGATGATGACGATGACGATGTGGATGCCGGTGACGTCATCAGTGACGTCACTGATGACGTCATCGGGGGTCACGTGACCTCGGGGGGGTCACGTGACTTGGGAAGTCACGTGATTTTGGGGGGTCACGTGACTTGGGAAGTCACGTGACTTTGGGCGTCACGTGACCCTGGGGAGAGGTCACGTGACCTCTGAGGGTCACGTGGCCTTGGGGTCATGTGACCTTGGGATGACCTTGGGGTGACCTTGGTTACGCCGACGCCGACGTTGACGGCGACGCCGCTCAAGCCGGGAACGGGCCCCTAAGAGCTGCGCTCTAAAACCTTTCTAGTGCACCTTCGACTGTGTGACTTTCGCCTTAGCTCTGTATCCCGTACCTGTAGTCGGTAGAGGTAGGGGACCTGCGGGCCCGCGACTGCGGCCCACCACAGGGCCGGGTGCCGGAGGAACAGGCTGCCCAGGCTCGGGTCGGCGCCGATCCTGCGCGCGATGTCCCGGGTGTAGGGCATGTAGTCCACCTGGATCGTGTGCCGGGGGCTGGACACGTAGCGTCGCCGCTGCCTGGACTCCGTCTGCGCTATGTCCTCCAGCATCGCCTCCTGGACGTGCCGAACGACATTTAGGACTTCAAGCTGTTTAAGAGCACTATAAATAAATAAATTGTTTGGTTTGCTTTGCTGCGCACGGGCCTTCTTTCCCTTCGGATTATTACCACCAAAGGCCTCTCACCGATCACTTAGGGAGGTTTAGTTCGTAAGCCGTTAAAAGTATGCCGAATTTCCCCGAACACGTCTTGTAGCAACGTTCTGCCATTCTTGAAGCTCAATCGGCACGCAGTACCTTTCGCACGACTCATTTAATTTTCGGTGTAATTCTGCTGACCAATTTTAAGATCTCTGAGGCAGATTTGCCGAGTCCGACACGGAAGTGGTACGCGCTCATCGCTCTGGTTAGAGGCTATGCTGAAATCGACGACGTGCTTTTGCACGAGTCACACATACCTGCGTAGCACATCTTGAAATGCTCAAGAAACCTTTGGGCATCAAAACGCGCGAATGTTTCCGCGTTCATCAGCTGCGCGTGCATCATCGTGCTGTAATTTTGTTTTTATGCTACAAAATTAGGATCGGAACTTTGTAATTGCACGTCGTATGTTAGCTGTCATTGCAATGTAAGCATTGTACGCCAGTATTTCTGTTTATTCCCGCTAGAAACATGAGCATCAACCCCATTGCAGAGCCTGGAGTTCATAGAGTGAATATGCTGCTGATAAGCGATAAATTTTGCAAACGCGCGGAGTTAATAAGCAACGAATAGAGCAAACGCACGGCGTTTGCTCTACGCGCGGCGTTAGAACTGTGCCTACTGCACCGCACAAAACATTAACCTGTTGCCGAGCAAAACGTTTCGCCTGGTCGCTTTTGGCAGCGGCAGCGGCTCGTGGCACAGCGCTTACGATTTCATCTGACCTTTACAGTGACTGTGCTACAAACAGCTCGTCGTCGAGGCGGCTTCGCCGAGTCATCAAGCCCACGTACCAGGAGGAGCTGCAAACACGCTGCACGAGTTGCCAGACCACAAGGACTAGCAGCTATAAAAGCAAGACCAGCGACTCTGCAGGACAATTTGGCAGCGGCAGCGGCTCGTGGCACAGCGCTTACGATTTCATCTGACCTTTACAGTGACCGTGCTACAAACAGCTCGTCGTCGAGGCGGCTTCGCCGAGTCATCAAACCCACGTACCAGGAGGAGCTGCAAACACGCTGCACGAGTTGCCAGACCACAAGGACTAGCAGCTATAAAAGCAAGACCAGCGACTCTGCAGGACAATTTGGCAGCGGCAGCGGCTCGTGGCACAGCGCTTACGATTTCATCTGACCTTTACAGTGACCGTGCTACAAACAGCTCGTCGTCGAGGCGGCTTCGCCGAGTCATCAAACCCACGTACCAGGAGGAGCTGCAAACACGCTGCACGAGTTGCCAGACCACAAGGACTAGCAGCTATAAAAGCAAGACCAGCGACTCTGCAGGACAATTTGGCAGCGGCAGCGGCTCGTGGCACAGCGCTTACGATTTCATCTGACCTTTACAGTGACCGTGCTACAAACAGCTCGTCGTCGAGGCGGCTTCGCCGAGTCATCAAACCCACGTACCAGGAGGAGCTGCAAACACGCTGCACGAGTTGCCAGACCACAAGGACTAGCAGCTATAAAAGCAAGACCAGCGACTCTGCAGGACAATTTGGCAGCGGCAGCGGCTCGTGGCACAGCGCTTACGATTTCATCTGACCTTTACAGTGACCGTGCTACAAACAGCTCGTCGTCGAGGCGGCTTCGCCGAGTCATCAAACCCACGTACCAGGAGGAGCTGCAAACACGCTGCACGAGTTGCCAGACCACAAGGACTAGCAGCTATAAAAGCAAGACCAGCGACTCTGCAGGACAATTTGGCAGCGGCAGCGGCTCGTGGCACAGCGCTTACGATTTCATCTGACCTTTACAGGTTAGTGTGGGATCTGGGCCAATTATTGTTTATTTACGCCGCTGCTGCTGCCAAGCAAACTTCTTTGATTTGCTGATGTGCTAGAATGCCTCTAGATTCGATCTGCATTGTATGTAAAGAGGTGTTATCCGACGTAGAAGTTTCTATTACATGCTGTGAATGTGACTCTTTTTGCCATCTTGGTGCGTGCTCAGGTGTCACAGCCGTAGCCTTCAAGTCTAAAAAGGCAAGCGCGTGGAAAAGTTGGCAATGTTCTACTTGCCAGAGAGTAAAACAAAGAGGAGGCCCATCCGGTAGGAAGGGGGAAGTGGTCGACATGCCTACACTATTGGTAACCATCAACGCCAAACTAGATAGTCTAATGAGTCTAAAAGAAACCGTGACCGGAATCGAAACGTCAATGCAGATGCTATCTGATAAGTATGATAAGATTCTCGGGCATATTAACCATCAGGACAATGAAACAAAGGCAGTGAAAAAGCGTCTTGAAGCTCTTGAACGACTAAAAACCGGCGAGGAAATTGAACAGTTAAAACGCGATCTAAGCGATATGGAATGGCGCAGTAGGCGACCCAACCTCGAAATCTACGGGATCCCTGTAGCTAAAGAAGAGAACCTCTTGGTTCGTGTTAATGAAATTGGAGCAAGACTAAACCTTCCAGAACTGACTGACGGCGATATCGTAAATATGCACAGGCTCCCGGCAAAGCAAGATAGAAATCCAGGCGTAATTGTGCGTTTCGCACAGCAGACCACTCGCGACCGGTGGCTTGACAAAAAAGGAGAACTCAGGCGTAGTAGAAGCAACGTTTTCTTCCAAGAAAACTTGACGAGACAGAGTAAGGCCCTTTTGTGGGTGGCTAAAGAATGGGAAAAGCGAAATAACTATCAATACGTCTGGCACCGGAATGATAAGGTGTTTATCAGGAAACAAGACGGCGAGAGGGCGCTTAAAATCTCGGATACTGCCGACCTTGATACGATTCTGTGAATATCACTTACTGTTTTTTCCTCCTTGTCCTTTTTGGGGTGAATGACCGAAAGCGCCTTTTTTCTACCGCAAAACGTGAAAAGCTATCTCGGTGAAGATCTAATGTCATGCGTGACGTGTTTTCATTTAAATACTCAGTCAGCCAAAAACAAAGCTGTTGACCTTGAGTTGCTTTTCGATCAATTTGGTTTTCACTTCGATGTTATAATGCTTACCGAAACTTGGTACACGGATGAAGCTGATGTTCTGAAACTGCCGTCGTATCGTTCTTTTTACGTCAATCGCTCAGAGAAGCGTGGTGGCGGTGTGGCCATCCTGACTAAAGACTCTCGCTGTGAATTAATAAAAGATTTCAGCTGCGTCACACAGGATTACGAGATGCTTTGTGTTCGTAGTAAAGATAATATTTTTGCTGTTATATACCGACCCCCTAGTGGCAGTCTTGAAACCTTCTTTGAGTACTTTGAGTCCTTCTTAATATTTGTCAATGAAGGAAAGTATAATGTTACTTGTGGTGGAGACTTTAACATTGATATGTGTACGGACACTACTGTTAAACGCACATTTACGACTTTAATTAATACTGGCGGATGCAGAAACGTTATCAACAGCCCCACGCGAGTTACCTGCCAATCCAAAACACTAATAGACTTGTTCATATCAAATCGCTCGACAGAGCATATAAAAGCTGGTGTTGTATGTTGCGATCTTAGTGACCACCTCCCAATATTTATTTCTGACAAATATATGAAACGGGAGGCAAATAAGAAGCAGTGTACAATGCTTCAAAAAATAACACTTGATGGACTAGACCATTTTTTAACCGCTCTATCAGATATAAATTGGGATAGCGTACTCAACCAGGATACCGCCGAAGAGGCCTACAATATATTTATGGAATTGTTTTCTGAGCAATATTTGACACACTTTCCTTTCAAATCTATGAAAACTTCTAAACGCATTAAAAAACCGTGGGTTACCCCCGAACTGCATTGTAAAATTCGTACGAAAAATGCGTTATATGCAAGATTTGCGAAGTCCAGAGATCAAAACGATCTAAGAGTCTTCAAAACATATCGCAACAGCTTGACAAAAGAGCTGCGGCGAGCTAAACAAAGCTATCATTTTAACGTGTTCAAAGCAGCGCAGGGTCATGCCGATGTCATATGGAAAGAATTAAACGCCCTCTTAGGTCGAAATCGCTCCCGCGGCTCTATTGTAAAGATTGTCAATGACGGTGCTGAACTAACTGGGCATGCGTTAGCGAATGCCTTTAATGAACATTTCAAAAGCATTGCAGATAAAACTAACACCGTAAATTCTTCCTTGTTTCGTGACACCAGAAATAATAACTCAATATTTTTAGAGCCAGTCGTTGACGCCGAATTAATTTCTGTAGTTTTGCAACTTAAAAATAGTGGTAGTTGTGATGCGGATGGCATACAGATAAGGCCAGTGAAGCATGTTGTTCATGCGTTGGCGCCGGTACTAACCTATATATTTAATCTTTGTATAACCACAGGTGTATTTCCTAAACGTATGCAGATAGCAAAGGTGTCCGTCCTACATAAAAAAGGGAGTGTTAACGATATGGGAAACTATAGGCCAATTTCGATACTACCTGTGTTTTCGAAGATACTCGAGAAACTGCTTCATATAAGACTAATTAACTTTTCTAATAAGTATAACTTAATAACAGCCTCACAGTTTGGTTTCATAAAACAAAAGTCAACGGAATCTGCTCTGCTTGTTCAGAAAGAACACATACTTCAAAGCTTCGAGGAAAAGAAGATGGTTCTTGGTATCTTCGTAGACTTCACAAAGGCATTTGATTGCCTAAGTCATAAAATTTTAATTGAAAAACTAGACACTTACGGTATTCGAGGGCACGCACTGAAGTTAATAAAATCTTACCTGGCAGACCGAATGCAGTTTGTTTGTATTGATGGGAACTCCTCAACTACAAACCCAATCATTTCTGGTGTCCCACAAGGTAGTATATTGGGTCCTTTTCTTTTTAATATATTTGTAAATGATATTGTTAACATTACTTCCGAAGCAAAATTTGTAAACTACGCCGACGACACCACTTTACTTTTCACTGCGGAAAACGTTGATCTACTGTTCGAATCGGCAAACCTGGCGCTTTCTAAGTTGAACGTCTGGAGCCGCATCAATTCGTTACAAATAAACGTTGCAAAGACAAAAGCCGTGCTTTTTCGTCCCAAGAGCAAACTTGTAAATATCACCAAACATATCGTAATAAACTCAACCAGGATTGAGATCGTCAATGCTTTTAAACTGCTTGGTGTCACTTCTTCCGAGAATATGTCTTGGGACGATCACATCAATTACGTTACCTCGAAGTTATCACAGATAGTCGGTATCCTAAACCGCAACCGCTATGTACTGCCAACAAATGTTAAATTATTAATATATAACTCCTTGTTCTATTCCAATTTAATTTACGGCCACCTAGTCTGGGGTAAGACGACAATAGCAAATCTCGATAAAATAAATATTTTGCAAAAAAAAGCCGTGAGGGCAATCGGGAATGTAGATTTTGATCATCCTACAGCCAATCTATTCAAGAAGTTTCACATTATTAGTATATATTCTCTCTACGACTACAGACTTTCCACTACTCTAAAAGTGGAAGAAATTAGAAATACTAGCTTTCTAGTGAGCCTTGGACGCCTTTCCCAATATGTTCATCCTTATCCTACTCGTTCTGCGAGCTGTTGGGAGGTGGTCACTCCCAGAACGAACTACTGAACACAAATGCTCAGATACACTATTCCGAAATTATTAAATTTATTTGCCCGAAAAAAACTTCGATTGGGAGAAATCATCTGTCAAGGATATTCGGACCCTTCTGTTTGATGTCGATCGTGTGCATAATTCTTTTCTCCTGTTTTTTATTAGTTATGTCGCGATTGTATCACGTATCTTTTTTCTTTCTTCAAAAGCTAGAAAGTGACAAAAGTTAACAATCCTGTGAATCAGCCTTAACAAAGTGTGTGATGACGAAGGTCTTTTCTGCTATTCTTTCTATAGCTTGTGCTCTGTATGTATTTTATACTGTGAGTATCACGCTGCTCTGCTGCTTGTAGGCGGTTGGGGACCTCGTCAAGCTGTTTTCTACAGCTTTTTGTCCCTGGTCGCCACCATAAAAATCTTATGGTGAAATAAACGATTATTATTATTATTATTATTATTATATTCCTTTCTTTCAGGCTATAGTTCAGGCCAGTCTTTAATGTAGATGTCGGTAAACAGTCCACTATAAAACAAAACGTTTACGAGCAACATAGGCAAACATATCGTAACAAGTATTTTTCCCAGCCCCAATCGAACGCTGCGTCGCTCTTCGGCTTGAACCCGCGTCTGCCCTGACTGACATGGGACACCAAAGAGTTTTACAATAGATTTCGGGCAATCGCAGGGTCAGCGGAAATGAACAAGCTCGCAAGGCAGCTAAAGCTAGACATAAGCCGTGAAGGCTCACAAAGGTTCCGTTTACCAAAAATGACATAAGATTTCGCATAAACAAAGTAGTAAAAACTATGACTATGCAATCCCCGCCACGTGCCCATCGAAATAGCAATATACCGTGCGTCCCCGAAAAAACCGAACCCTGTTTTTCCCACGGCGAAACTGAACTAGACATCGCCAGCTCAAAGTCCGTCGGAACGTATACCTCCTACTACATACAGAAAAGGGCTTCTGCTGGAGGTACAGCAAGGAATCGGCCAAACCCTTGTTGCCGGCTGACAGCTGTCACTCGAAGTTAGTCAAGAGAAGTGTGATTGCGTCTGTGGTTAGATAACGCTTGTAAAAAGTCACGTGTACATCGCGTTGGAAAGGCAATAGATTTGCAAAATTTGCGTCTTTTGGAAGCGGGCCATCCCCAGGGTGTAATTGCTAGTGTTATGCGCAAGCTGTCAGGAAAGTTCAGTTCGGCTCCATGGGAAAAACCGGTTGTGAAGCATGTGGTCTGTGTGCATTACTATCATGGAATATCTCATAATTTAAAGTCAGTGGCCAAGAGGTTCGGAGTAAATTTAGTTTTCAAGGCACAACATAAATTGGAAAGTTTAACCGCCTCTTCCGGGTGGTCGTCAGGGTTGCCTTAAAGAGCAGGCTATCTCCTTGAATTGGTAGCCACGCTTAATACGAAGCACAGATTTCGCGGTGACTTTTCGTAACGTAACGTAAGAAAACGGGTCTGCGTGAGCAAACCTTTACTGGTCTTCAAGATCAACTTTAAGTGCATGCCTGTGTTTGTGCGAGTGTGATGTTATTCCGTGTGCGCGACATTACTCTTATTCTCAACCTCTGCATTCCCCTCTACGCTTTCCTGCAAAGTAACCAGTTTGAGAACAAAGTCCGGCCTACGTCTCCTTGTGTTTATTAAAACTATTTAACTATCTCCTTGATCGAACCCGAGTCCAGCCGAACGTTGACGCAGCTCTCGCTTCCACTCTGTGCCCCGCACTGGCCCCCGCTGTGGGACGCTTAAAATGCAGCACTACACCGTCGTTATTCACAAGGTGTAGCGCTGTAGAGTACTAGTATACACTCCGCTTGCGGAGCAGGGTATCGCAACAGCCTCCAAGTTTTGACTCTAAGCGAGGTAAGCGACCGGCGCTTTTGCAGGAGGCGCGACGGGCGCCACGAAACGAGATGGCGTTTCACCTTGTTGTGTCTGCAGGGACTCGGCGACACGCATGCGCAGTCGTGCGTCTCTGGGTTCCCTCGATAGCGCGGGCGCGCGCGGGCTACGTCCTCGGTCGTCGCGTCGTCTGCGTGTAGACGAGTGCTTTGAAGCAGTGCGTGCGTTATAAAAAGAACGCAGTAGACCTATCGCTTAATTACTTAAGCATCAAGGAGAATGCCGGGATTGGTGTTTCACGCGCCACTCGCGCACGCCTTACCCATATAACAAATTAAAGATTAAAACAGCGCAAGGACACGGACAAGAACAAAAAGGTAGACAAACAAGGCAGCGCCTTGTTTGTCTACCTTCTTGTTCTTGTCCGTGTCCTTGCGCTGTTTTAATCTTTAATCATGAAATACCAACTAGCCCAAACTTCTACTTTAATCAACACCATATAACAGAGTTGAAGTAAATAACCAAAATAAAGCGTTGGCGAACGGGCGTGCAAGATACAATTTATTTTAGGCATTTGATTTAGAGACGTTACTACTGCTAAGGCCAGCACTTGCGGCGCGTGGAACACCCATCCCTGCATTCTCCTTCATGCTTGGGTAATTTAGCAATCGGTCTATTACGCATGTCCAAGTGGAACATGATATCCAAAGGCTAAGGGAGCTTCCTGTTTGTCGCTCTTCAGTGTATAATCTGCACTTTGCGAGCGCAGAGCGAAGATTACGTAACGCCCCGAACCCGGACCTCAGCGAGGCCGCTTCCCTACGAGTGTTGTAGTCAAATTTGGCGCACATGACCTCTTGTCAGTCAAAGAAGAGTAGGCGGCGAAGTGACAATGAAGGCGATACTCCGACTCCATCATTCAGTTCCTCTCCCGCGCAGTGGCGCCCCCACAAACCTTGGTGGGCAGCCGGACGTTGCCCAGCAGCAGCTGCACGACCCAGCGGGCCTGCACCTCGGCGATGGGATTGATGGCTCCCAGCGGCTGGATGTAGCCCAGGAAGCTGAGCGTCTCGGGCCTCTTGAGCCGCACCGGAAACACGTACTTGAATAGGGCCAACCGGTTGTCTTCCACCCTCACCAGGGACTCGGACAGGAAAGGGAACCTGCACGATGACACCGGGAATTCCGAGGCTCCGTACTAAACTATTCAAGTGGGCTAGTTGCGTATTAAACGTAAATAGCGCGAAAAATGGGACAGGAAGGAGGATGGGACAAAGGCTCGTTCTATCATTCTTTTTAGCGCAAAATTTAGGCGCCCGTTTCCGGCTTGAGCGACGTCGCCTGATGACGTCATCAGCATCCGCATCGTCATCATCCTCGTCATTGATGACGTCATCAATGACGTCACCAATAATGATGACGTCACTGATGACGTCATCAGCGACGACGATGATGACATCACACGGACGTCGCTGGTAACGTCACTGATGACGTCATCAGGATGACGTCATCGCGATAACGTCATGTCACGTGACGATAACGTCAAGGGTCACGTGACCCCGGTGACGTCACATGACCCGGTGAGGTCACGTGACCCTCATGAGGCGATGGCGACGCCGCTCGGACAGAGGAATAGCGGAATGGATTAGGAGGAGGGAGGAGGGGTGCAACCTCCCCTCAGTACCCTCCCCTCCTCCTCCTCAAGAGCTGCGCTCTAATTCGGCGTTACAGGGAGTTGTAAACGGCTTTCATTTTTTATTTCCTCGCCTGTCCTTTGCACTATTTATGTTGTAAAATAAAAAGGGACACAATTTTTTTAAGTTGAATTTTTTTTTTATAGAAATACATACTTTGCAGTTTTAGACTCAGTTTAAAGTCCAAACTATACCGCTTATAAACTGTTGTTTACAACACTATAAGCATCCTTAACACGAAAAGCTGTAACATGGGATCTTTTTTGTTTTGCTTTGTATGATGCATTTGAAGTTGAACGCATGCGATTTTTTTGTTATTTTATGATTTACTATTCAATCATTTAGCCTGTCTTTCCTTTTGTAACTACTACCGACCCCAGGCTACGTCAATTATGCCTCTGGCAGCTTTTGTCTAGCTTTCGGATACATAAATAAATTAATGTTTTTATTTATTAATGTTTCACTCATCACTCAAAGCTTTGATTAGTACACACATAAACCACACACCTTGCCAAATTATTCGCTCTATTCATGCTTTAAAATATTCATACAGAATTTAGTAACAATTTGAGCTTCGGTATTATCTTCTTTCAATGCATGTAAACAACTCCCAAAGGTTTTCTTTTTGCTGATTTTTATATGAAGAAGGTATGTTGATTTTTTAAATGTAATTTAATGTAATTATTTTGCTTTCCGACACTGCTGTGTGTCTTTAAGACGGCGAAGGACCTCTGAATCTTCTTGGACAGCATTTATTTCTTAGTTCCTATCATACTTTACACAGTTCACGCGGAAAGAATAAAAACTCTGAAAATATACGAGGGACAGACACACGCAGTTCTTTTATGAAAGAACTGTGTGTGTCTGTCCCTGAAAGGTATGAAAGAACTGTGTGTGTCTGTCCATGACAGAACAGCACACGACATAACAGCACGCGACAAAACAGCACGCGTCAAAATAGCACGCGACAAAACAGCACAGCGTGAAAACGGCACAGCGACAGAAGGGCACGTGCCAAAACAGCACGGCGACAAAACAGCACAGCGTCAGAACAGCCAGCAACAAAACAGCACAGCGTCAAAACATGACATTGACAATATAACTAGGGTTCGGCGTTTTCGGTTTGTATTATTTGAAATTCCGCGCACTTTTTTCGGTTTTTATTCCAAACAAAAGTTTTCGGTTTATTGCGGTGAATATTTGTAGACTCATAAACTTCTCAGTTATATAAGGTTTATTGACGAAAACCAGTACACTAACGAAAATGCAATAATTAAAAGCGTTTGTGTAAAATGTGTATTGAGTACCACGTACTGGTCTTCTTATTTGTTGCCGTCTTTGGCAGCCGACGCGACCTGTTCAGTAAAATGCACTGGGGCCCTATCGTATCTGACATTATCGTCGTGTGCTCGTATTTGTACACAGGATGAGCATGAGCTTCAGTACCACTTCGGTCGGAGAGGCAAATATCAAAATGGAAAAATTAGCAAGCATTGTACTCGGTGCGTTTTCCCCCATTTTCACGACTGCGAGAGGCGATAAATTCGCGCTGATGGCAGAATGGACAATAAAACACTCGTATTTATGCCCTCCTCTAATAGACGGAAGCTAGAGGTGTTAAACAATGCGCGGCATCTACGGACGCTCTTGATTTTCGCTGTTTGATTTCACGATTAAACTCTCTTCTTTTAACGAAGAATTCGGCACAAACCTCTATCAGCAGTGAAAAACCCAGATTTTGTCCTGAGGACCCCTGCGCCCCCGAAGCTTATGTTGAAAGTTGAACCGATCCCGCAGACATATGGTCAGTAATGAGTAGGGTTCCGTGTTTTCGGAGTTTAGTTAACGTCAAGTTCGGTGGGTGTTTTTCAGTTTATTTTTCGCCGAAAATTCGGAGTTTATCGGAGTTTTTTTTTTTTTTTTTTTATTCCAAATTCTTCGAAATTTTGAGCTAAAATTCACAGTGTTTCTTATTAAAAATAAACAAACAATATCCAAATGTAAACGTATGCTGGACAAAAAAAAAAAAACGCGATTGTATCAAATAATTTTTTCTTCAGGTGGATTTGGCGTTGGTGCCATTACTGATGGCAATACTAATTTGTCCTAGAACAAAAGTGGCACAAAAGTGTCATTTCGATAAACGTCGATACCTTAAAATCAATAACCTACTGGAGGTAGTCGCTGGGAAGCCTGTATTTATTCCATGCTATTCCATCAACCTACGGCGCGGCCGCAAGAGATAGAGTGGAAAAGAATGTAATAGAGAAGTTTCAACTGTCCTCTTTTTCACTTTATGTAATTTCTATGGTCCATAGCTTTCGCGGTTACAAGAACACAACATTTCCTTCCCCTCAGGCACAAATAGTAAGGCCCAAACCAGAAACATAAACAGTAACTTTTGTCTTGACCCGATAGTACATTGACCTGTTGTCCTGACCGAAATTCGAAAGATATATGTGGTGGCATTTTCCCAGGACATTTACTCTACGCGCTGATTAAACCATTACTTGCAAAATATATTTGTGTGTGTGTGTGTGTGTGTGTGTGTGTGTGTGTGTGTGTGTGTGTGCGCGTGTGTGTGTGTGTGTGTGTTTGTGTGTGTGTGGGGGGGGGATTGGCATATCGAAATTCAGAGTTTATCAGATAAATTCGAATAGACGAAACTTTTACCGGCGGGTGTTTTTCGAATTTATCCGAAAACACGAAAACGTAGTTAGGAGTCACATCCCCCCCCCCCCCACACACACACGCACACAAGCACACATGCACACGCCCTGGAAAGCACACAAGCACACACAAGCACACGCCCTGGAAAATTCTGAACTCTTTCAGTTAAGCCTGAATGTAGAAAAATGAATTCGGCGTACTTTTACCGGTTATATTCGCTTTAACCCGAAAACGCTGAACCCTAAATATAACGTTTGAAGTTAAAAAAAAAAAAAAAAAAAAATGCACGTGCAATCCTGTTGCCGCCAGCGTACGTTTTTTTTTTTTTTTTTCTCTACTAGTTGTCAAATAATGCCATGCAATGTCCAACCCTATTTCTTTACGTTCTGTTTTGTTTTCATGCGTGCTGTTTTTTCGTTGTGCTGTTTTGACGCCGTGCTGTTTTGCCACGTGCTCTTCTGTCGCTGTGCCGTTTTGACGCCGTGCTGTTTTGTCGCGTGCTATTTTGACGCGTGCTGTTTTGTCGCCGCGCTGTTTTGACGCTGTGCTGTTTTGACGCGTGCTGTTTTGACCGTGCTGTTTTGTCGGGTGCTGTTTTGTCGTGTGCTGTTCTGTCGCGTTCCCATATTCGCAGGGTTTTTATTCTTTCCGTGTCAACTGTACTCCATCTAGCCTCTGCCACGACCTCTGCCACGTGTACCTAACACTCTACACAAGTACATTTTGAATAAAACTGCTCTTGTTAATATATTAATTATTACCGCACATGCATTTGAAACGGAAGAACGTAAGAAATATTCGAAAAAAGGTTGGAAAAGCAGTTAGTACGCCAGGTTTCTGATTTTTTTTTTTTCATTTCTAAGCGTCTTTTGGCAGAAACGTTGCAAACAGACAGATATAAACAACGCAGTTTTTATGCCTATTTTCGAAATACGATAATTAAGGAATAATATTAGAAGCCCATGATAAAAAAAAACATTGCAACGCAAAAAACAAAACTCTATAAACCCCGCTTAAGGAATCCATCAAATGCAATCAAGGTGCGATTGCACTTGATAATGTTATTAATGAGCAGCCCGCTCTACCTGAATTTAGCGGGGAAAATATGACCTCTTAAAACATCATGATGTTGAGTGACACAATGATGTCAAGTGAAACTTTACATGTCGTGGCAAGGTCAATGACGTCAAACAACAGCTTCGCTCTGTTGCTGCCACTGTCCCATTGCCTTGCTACGGTGCGACCAACACTAACACGAGCAACCAAGGCCCCTTGAAGGTTGCCATATTGAGATATCGCTCTAAAATATACTCCGTTGCAAAAAAAAAAAAACTCGTTTTTTTTTGTGGTGAAGGAGAAAGACCAGCGAAGCTGTACTATGATGGGACGACCTCAAGCACGACTTCTAGCACGACCTCGAGGACGGCCTCAGGGACATCTAGGACGACCTCAAAGACAACGCCTAGGACGACCTGAAGGAACCTCTCGGACAACCTCAAGGACGACGTCTAGGACGACTTTCAGGACGACCTCTACGACAACGTCTACGATGACCTCAAGGTCGACTTCTAGGACAACCTCAAGAACGTTGTCTAGGACGACCTCAAGAACGACTTCTAGGACGACCTCGAGGACGACCGCAGGGAGAACATCTTAAACGACCTCAAGGACGACACCTAGGACGATTTACAGGACGGCCTCGAGGACAATGTCCAAACGACCTCAAGGACGACTTCTAGGACATCCTTTAGGAAGACCTCAAGGATGACTTCTTGGACAACCTCGAGGACAACCTCAAG